GCTCTCTCTCTCTCTCTCTGAATCAAGACAACAAGTACCCCCTTATCATAGCAAATTCTATTTTGACTTTTAGAGAAAAAAGAGAGATTGTTGCCAAAAAAAGAACTTCCTTGTCATTAATAAAAATATAATTTCTTATTCCTTATAAATATTTAATTTCAATGCTTGGGCGTGGAAGTCTTATTTTTGTCATATTAGAGAGAGAATTAGTTGAGGTGCACATAAGTTAATTCAGACACTCGTAACTGCTAAACCAAAAAAAAAAAATTATATTTTTGGACGAAAAAAATTGGACCAAAATTAGAGTACTGCGACTGTTACCAATTCAGTCACTAAATTTTGTCTATCAAGACAACATAATAGTTTACCGGAGTTGGTGAATTTTACTTTAACTTTTTTTTTAGTGGAACCACATCCATTCATAGCCTTTTAGCTTGGGAATTTATCTCCTACAACTACAAGTAAATACCCGCCCAAACTAAAACAAGCTTTTTCCTCGGTGGCTCTCTACTGTGCGCTCTCTCTCTCTTCTCTCTTCTCTCTCAGAGACACACGCACGCATCAAAATGATATCTTTGGCTGGTTGGCAATCATCATCTGCGTATATGAATTTGAGCTTTCGCAAGGATTCGTTTGGCTCGCTGTCATCGTTCTTCTCTGACCGTCTTCTCCCAACAAGGTTTGTTGTTAGCTTTTCCAAAGTTTTAACCTTTGTCAATCAACCATTTCAATATTCTACTGCTAAAGGGGTTTCCCTAGCAAACCCTCTTTCCTTTGGTCAAATAAATTAAACAAACAGATACGCTAATGCTTCTGTTGTTATTTTCTTTTTGTACAAGAGAAGTAATTTACTGCCAATTGAGCCAAACTGTTGTACTACCGTCAACTAAATGCGTAATTTCGTTTTCTTGGACTGAAAATAGCGAACGATAAAGGAAGGTATTGTTTAATTGAGTTCACATCACTGTCGCTTTTCAACTTCTCGTTGAGATGCAACTCAATTCAACGTATTTTTTTTTCTAAAAAAAGCAAGCTCTACTTGCTTCCATTTTTGAGTTGGAGATGGAGTTTTCATTACAGGATTCTTTGGTGTTCTCTGGATAGTCTTATAAAAACCGCCACTGGGAAACACAAACAAATGACCTTTGAAGTTTGTTTCTCCAGAATTATAATGATGTTACGACCCTCATAACTTGATACAATGTGAAATAGTAGAGGTATCACAAATGGGTAATAAATAAAGGAAAGAATTGATTTAGATTATTTGAACATGTTTATAGAGCATTTATAACTACACCAGCGGAAAAGAATAAAATAGTTTGTGATTGGACAAGCACAATGCTTCAGCAACACTTATGTAGCTGACCTCAAAAAGTTGGACATACCTTTGTTGAGTTGAGTTGTAGACAATTAATGATGAGGTTGGTCAAAAGTACCAATTGCTTGATTAAGGATCTCACATTTTCAGTTTGCACGGAACTACCTGAATTTGTTCTTGTAGGTTGCATTTGGTTACATGAAAATTTGACAGGCTTGATTTTGTTTGATGTAGCACTTGGAATCAATTGAGTTGTTGGATTCCTTTTTCCACAGAACCCTGTTCAGGATGATAAAATTTATTTTTTAATGCTATAAAAACATTGTGGCGTGTCCAGATGCATTCTTAGTTTCATGCTATTGTTTTGATGCTATTTGATATATTTGCCATTTATTCATGCTTGTGGTGTTTTTATCCTACTACATGGATTACCAAGGCAGACCTATTTTAACTTATTTTTATAATGTTTGCAAAAATGCAATTACTTCTCAGAGAAGTCCTTTGATTATTGGCATTGAATCAGTTTGCAATATTTATGGTTTTTATTTTATATACCCTCCCTTGAATATATTTTCACTCTTGAACTTATTTTGTTGTTCATGTTAATCTAAAATCGAAACATACTACAGAAGTTTCTATAACTGCTTTTATGTATTTTTTTTCTAATTATAGCTTTTGACCTTCTTCTCCATAGTTTTAATCGAGATAGAAGGAGTAATGAGAGCTATCGATTCTATAAACTGAAATGTGCACTTGCGAGGGTCAAAGAGTCTCCTTCCCCAAGCACTGATACATTGATAAGAGAACCTCATAAATATTTTGATCAGGTCAGCATCACAGTTCGTTCTGGAGATGGAGGCCATGGTGCCATTCTTAGTATGCCAAACCAGGGAGCTCCTTCTAAATCCCAAGGAAAACTTGAAAAGGAAAAGAAGAGGAAGAAGACTTCATATAAAAGAGATTTTGATGGATCACTTATCCTTCCTATTGGAGGACATGGTGGGGATGTTGTAATCTACGCCGATGAGGGCAAAGATTCATTGTTGGAATTTCATATGAAAAGGCGACACAATGCAAAGCGTGGGAGCAATGTTGATGCAATGGGTGTTTTGACCTCTCAATTGCATGATGGACTTGCTGCCTCAACATTGCGTATTTCAGTACCTGTAGGTTTGTGCATTACTTTGCTGAGTTATTTAAGTATGTATGCTGAGGGACGTATATAGATTTCTGTTGATTTCCTTTTCTATGTCTTCTCAACATGGTAGCAGATCGAAAGATCAAACGAATACGACACCATGTAAACTAAGGTCGGTTCATGATGTTTTCTATCATTGACAGGTACGGTTGTAAAACATAAACGGGGGAAGTTTTTGGCTGATCTAGCTCGCCCAGGTGATGAAATTCTTGTTGCAAGGGGTGGACAAGGAGGGGTGAGCTCTGTCTTCATAAACATAGGAAAATATGTTTTTAATATGTATGACCAATGTTTATAGCAACTGAAATATATTATTTTTGCTCTCCTTACTTCTCCATCAAATATTTGCTTATTTCAAATAATAAGTGATATATTAGACATAGATGGCCAGGGCTTATATTTATGGGTCAAGTGGGAGTTTCTTTTGTCTTAATGAGGGGTGTTATTGTGCACAGCACATCTTGTTGGTATTAGTAACCCTTATTTGAACATTTGTTGAACCTGTTACTTGATCTGTAACTTGTTTTCCTTCTTCTATGGCAGATTAGCTTGTTAGAAATGCCAGAGCATAGAAGGAAAAGAATGATGGCTTTAACCACCAATGTGATGAGGGATGACAGTGATAAGGTAAACATAAGTAATGCCATGTTCTTGTATGTGGCATGCACTCTCAACTTATCTTTTTTTTTTTTCCAGGAATCGAGAAGTTTCTTCATCAAGGGAGCCTAACATTCATAATCAGCTCCTCTTTGATGTTTCATTTTTTTGAGCATTCATCTATTAACCCAATCTTTCCTGGATATTTGGATTCAATTTTCAGAGCATAGATTAGAACATGATGATTGCCAAAAGAAAAAGTGTATATGACTGCCAAAAACATAGCATTTTTGTAATGAATCAAATGACAAAGTACCCTATGCTTACAAAGTGAGAATGAGTTTTAAGTAAAGATGTTATATAGTTAGGGTAGCTAGGAAATTATCAGTTAAACATATTTGTTTATTACTGGAGATCAAAAGCCACTCCCAGATTTCACATGAATGAAATTTATGAGTGCATGAGTTACAAATATTTCTCCAGTCTATTACCCTTGTTATTGCTGATGAATGGTCACACATTAACTATGTCATTGTAAGGTTTGTAAAAATGCCTCTTGCTCCCTGTTTTAAGATGAATTGTGCAGCATGTTAGTGGAGGGAATGCTTTGCTTTCTAAGAGAATA